TGTCCACGTACAATACTGCTGCCAGACCGCCTGAAGAGAGAAACAAATGATTATATCCAACGAATTCATATATTATGAAGGCACGGTTGCTGTTTGATTATTATTTTTGTGTGTGTTTCTTTTACTTTTTCTAATAATTTCTTAGAGTGCTCTATCTACGTTGAGGAATGAGTGGGAGCTGAAGGGTTCTGGTTCTTTTGGTCCCTTACTCTGAATTGGTGACCTTGCAGATCTATTGTCAGTACACGCACTTGCAAATACACATATATACTTGTACCCGTGTACACATACACACACACACACACACACACACACACACACACACACACACACACATGGATGCACATGTTCGCACACACACACACACACACACATGCACCCGCACACACACACACACGCACAACTCACAGACTCACACATCATCAGATACAATTTTTTTTTCCTGATGTTATAGTACACATTTCTTTTTGGGGGAAACACACAAATTTTAGGGGCATAGGAAGAAAAAGCTCTCCCACCCAACTTGTTAAACCTTATGGGAGGCACTCTCACGAGATTCTCATCTCAAGCTCTCAATTGTCGACTCAATAAGGTCTTTAAAATAATATTATGGTGCTTTGTTGTTCATGCACTTGTGACACAAAAGGGCAGTTTTATCATCAATTCTAGCTTTTACTAGTGGCTAACTTAGTTTTATATCTATGTGCTTATATCTGTTTTGTTTCCATGCGCTTCCAGCATAGCTTCCTGGATGCATGAGTACAACATGGAGAGAAAGTTTATCAACCCAGTACATGTGGAGCCACTTCTTGCCAGAGCAGAAAGGTACAAAATCTCCTTACTTTCTCTCCCCTGCACTCAATAATGTTAATCCAAACCCTCTTGTTACTGTCGGCATGGCATCCCTTCCTCTCAAGTGATGATAATTACAACATTAGTGTTATGGTTTTCAACAACACCTCGTGAAATGGCTGTGTCTGCCACAATGACAATTACGAAAATGATAATCTGTATTTATATCACTGGGAGGAATTTGTTTTGGTCATTTACAATGGCGGTGTTGTTACAAAGTGTATGTGAACTCGCGCATACACCCAAGGAAGGACATAAGTATTACATGCTGAAACACCTCCGCTCCTTAAACATTCTCTGTCACTCTAGTTACAGACAAAGGGTACTCGTTTCTTATTAAAACATACCTTCTAATGATGGAGTAAAGCATACGATACAGGCCTATTAATGCATTGGTGATGTACATGTATGCTAATTACTTTGCTGTTTGCCTCTCTCTCTTTTTCTTCTTCCTTCCATTTTCTTTACTTTCCTTTCTAAGATGGCCGCCCATTGCTGAGAAAAAAAGTGGTCGTATTAGATGGTTGGCGGTCTTACACAGTGTCATTATGATGTAAAAAATTCGCAAGAAAGGAAACACAAAGTGTCAGTTTGATCGGGTGATTGTCTTATACAGGTGACCATTAGAGCAGATTTGACTATGTTTATTTATTTTTCTTAGATTTTATAGCTAATTGGAGTCAGTGCCATTTAAACAATAGAATCCTTGATATCTTGCATTAAATGTGGTCCCTGGGTGGATTACACCTTCTTTCCACGGAAAGTGTAAAATATTTGTGTATTTTTCTCACATTCAACAGCTTATTGGAGTCCTTACACGGTACGCAAAGAAAGATCAGCCCGGCATTTACAGGGGTTTTTGTCTCTGGAGTGGAGCAAGAGTGGAAGGGTCTCTTTGTGCAGCCATTGGTTAAAAGACTTGAGGATTTCATTGAGAAGGCCAAAACATTTCTCGCCCCACCAGCTATCACTAACCAAGTGGAGAACAATACGTAGCCAATGTAAAGGGGAGTAATCAGATACATTTATGTACAAACTCTTGTTAATTGGTTGTGTCACTTTAGTTTGGTATGACGTGATTTTTAACTGTGCCAAAAACAGCTCGTGGGTGATTGACGGTAGGGCTGGATCCTGCTCGTCAAATTTGAGAGTGGCGATTCGCGATTCAGTCGGCTTCAAAGAATCGCGAGTACGCGAGCGCTCGCGGAACTGTGGTGGAACACTGATTGAAACGGAACAGTATCGTATCAACGGAACTGTCATGTCAACGGAACAGTATCATAACTACGCCACTAGGCGAGCGCGAGTCCCACTCTTGCTGTTCCGCCATCCTCTCTGCCCCACACCCTTTGTTGCGCTGCTCTATCAACTGACCTCAATTAGTGACCCCCATAAATCCCCCCCCCCCAAACCCCACCATTCGCTAAAACAATGGCTCCATAAAATTCCCTCTGTCTATTGGTTGGACCCCGTTCATTTTGTTTTAATAGGGGGGTTGGACTATACCATCTTTTGTAAAATAAGGGGAGCCATACTAAGTGTTCCGTTCCGTTCTTGCGCTCGTGACTCGACTCAGCCGTAGGTTAAACAAGCCACAAGGTGGTGACAGCGACAGGGGAGTGAATCGGGAATCGTTTGGCGATACTGTTCCGCGTTCCGCTGAAGTGAATCGTGAATCGCGTTCCGCAGGAAAGAGTGACGATTCAGTTCCGTTCTCGCGCTCGTGACCCAGCCCTAATTGACGGGAGCTCTGGTGTGGTTTGCTCCTTTGATCCTATTAAACATCTATCATTCTTATCTCTCCTTCCTTTTTGTGTTTGTTACTCTATTGTATAACACTTCTAATCATCGGCACTTACATGACCTAATTGTGTTGCATATGCTGTAGAACTCCTATAAAACAAAGCAAAAAAAACCCCAACAAAAACAACCCAGCTCATTCTTGTTCGGTGAAGAGATTTCTTTCCTTTTTTTGTGCACTGGAAAAGCAATAGAAACTTTTCATGCACTCTTAGCAATTTTTTTTGGTGTTCATAATCCTTGTGTATAATGAGCAAAAAGTTTTCAGGCTGGAACAAAATTCTGTTTTATTTTACAATGCATTATTGCAAATAATATTTTCTATCTCGAAAAAATGGACAGGCTTACTCGACCAGAAAAGGAACTATTTCTGTTTTCTTGTTCTAATCTCTTTAAGTCTTTAGAAAGCTACTCACTTCATTCAGATGTCCTTGTAAGGCCGTATATTTTAGATCTTTTTTCTCACCTGTGATTGTCTGACACAGGTTGTATTCATGTAATTTACATGTGTGCTTGCTCTGTGGACGGAGTCGGTTGTTCACTACTATGTCATCTTTTTTATTGAAAGATATCGATTATGAAACATCATACTTATCGTTGTTTTAAATGTAAGTAAGAGTTGGAAAATTTTCAATCGGTTTGAAATAAATTAAAGAATTGTGGAACTAAATCGGGGAATGTTTTTACCTTTCAGGCCACCTCATCATCATCGTCAGCATCATCATCTTTGTCATTGACATCATGGTCATTATCATTATCATCATGACAATCATCATCAATTTTGTTAGTGATGCTATTTTCATTATCATCATTGTAATTGTCATCCTCATCATTATCATGATGTGTTGCGCGAGTGTTAGGTTAACCCTTCCTCCTTAATCTGTTTGCTGTGTGCCCATTGTGTAGGACACAGGGTTCATCCTTTTGTTTGTTTTAAAAAACATTTTTTGTAAAAGGAAACAATTATCTAGTGTTGCTTCTAGATCTATCCGTACTTACACGGTGTATTTGTTGTTTTGTTCAAAGTTATGTCATAGAGTTATGAGAATGTAGTTTTTGCCCTCGAGGTGATATTTTTTGTGTGCTGTATAATTCTATCTCATCAAGGTATCATTTAAATGACTCATGAAAATGAGTTTCTCTCCTGCCCTTTATTGTGTTTGTTACTCTCTTATAACACCTACATTTCTTTGGCACTTAAATAACCTCATTGTGTTGCAAGTGCCATACAGTTCTTACCAAAACAAAAAAATTTGTTTGCAGTGTCTTATTGTAAATGAAACACCTCTATTTCTGTAGATTGATATTGTCAGTGTTGCGAATAATTTGCAGAGCGAAGGAAACCACAGTTTGACCACAGATACAAAAAGCATTTTGACCAGGTTATGTTTCTGTCCATTAGCTTTTGCTTTCGTTACCATTTGCATTTTAGCAGGTTGCAAGGATTCTACTGTCAAAATTGTTAACTGCATGAGATACAAATTATTTAATATCTTTACACTAATTGCTTTTTAGTTTTCACTTATTTCCTTTCTAGTTTCTTGTACAGATAGATCAGTGGCTGTCCAAATCATGAAACTGGTGAAAGAGAGTTATGCTACAGCTTTAAAAGATTGTACAGATTGCCAGTAAAACTGATGTAATATGTTTTGCTTTACCAGTTTTTTTTATCAATTCCATTTCCATATCAATGCTTTCAGATTCCCCAGTTTTGCTGGTATGTCAAGTGCTCATGCTCTATCTACCTACCATGGTCTGCTTTTTGGGACTTTACTTACTCATTCTTCTCAGTTTTTCTAGTAATGGATCATGTTTTATTGAGTACTTGTATTTGAGTGGCCAAGAATACTTACCTACTCATCCAAGGACTCATTTCAGAATGAGACTGGCCCTTGTCTGTTGTTCAAGAGTCCCTAGTATTTTGTGTCGTAGCAGAGGTATATCATCTTCTTTTATATGTGTAGTTACAGAGAATGGAACAGAGACAAGTATTATGATTGATGGAGCTGTGTAAAAATGTACCGATGAAGTTTAGTGAGATTTATGTTTTTATGAGTTAAGTGTTTTAAGTTTTTGATTTGTTCAGAACATACTGCTTTTTTTTTCGATATAATTCTACTAATGGATAAAACTCGATCCTACCTTGTGAAACAGGTTTTATGACTCTCTATAAAGTGGAAAATGGTGAAAGATTAAGCTTTGTATTTACTCATTGTGACAGAATAATCACTAAGTTTGTGTAAATCAGTCCAGCATATATTTTAAAGAACTTTCTCTTTTTGGTTAAGGATGCCATGATTCAAATTGTCCGGCACAAATACCTTGAAAGTTAAACTGAGTAGTAGTGAACCAAAATGTATTGTATATACATACAAGATTTTGCTACTATATTCCCTCTGTAGGTTGTTGAGATTATGATTGGGAATGCAGCCTGTAGTGAAGCACAGTTGCCATTAGATAGTAAAAAAAATCCAATAGTCTGTGTTTCACTATTGTACCTTGTACCGTACCTTTTAGATACTTTATAGTCTCTAACCCTTTATAGCTTGTAATTTCATGAGTACAAGTGGAATTTTGCAGTGTACAATGTTGAAACCCACCGTGTTCAAAACTAAAGCTTTAAGGAATAAAGTGTGAAATGTTAATAAGATTATACGAATCGGAGTAAAAGAATGATAATGTCTGTAGTCCAGTACATAATCCATTTTGCCTCCATTGAATATTGAATACCATGTATTTTATGAAAGTTGAATCTTGAAAATTGTACAGCCCAAATAGATGTTGTTTGTGTTAAAAGTGACATTATTCTAGTGACTTTTTTGTGTTGTGTGCTAAGTTAACAGCTTTCTCTGGTACAAGTCTGGATGTGAGAGAGAATGAGTGAGAGAGAGAAAGAGAGAGAAAGAGAGAGAGAGAGAGAAAGAGAGAGAGAGAGGGGGGAGGGAAGGTGTGAGAGAGAGAGAGAAAGGGAGAGAAAAACAGAGGCACAGATCGTTCATATTGATGGGTCTAGCTTTGTGTGTATTGTTATCCCTGTCGTTGTCTTGCCTCATGTTTTCTAAACTGTCACTGTCATTGTTCTTGATGAAATCCCTTGCCTGTAATTATGCTTTTTATAATGAGAGATTCTGACAGAAAGTACGTCAGACTTTGGTGTGTGTTACTGTCTGTTTGATTGAAAATATGTGAAGACTAGTTTGGTGCTACTGACTGAAGTGTCTATTCCCAAAGGGGGGACCTGAACATCTCGAGTTCTTATGCACAGTAGAATTGTAATTGTAAATGGGCTGATTCATCAATGTCATGCTCATAACTGTGCCTGAACTGCAACAGGGAACTGCTGATTTTTCTTTCCTAATCCTTACTATCGTCATTTTTTAACTCTACTTCTTTTGTATGTTTGTCACACTCTTGTGACCCGCAATTTCCGGGGTGCATTGACAGTCGAAGCAGACTTTGTGCTGTTGAAGCTAGAGAGGTGAGCAGAATAAGTCTGATTCCCTGTAAGGACTTCTCTGTTGACATCCACCCCTTGGCGCTCATATGACCTTATGCAGTTGGGAGAGCCTTAATACCTCTACTAACTAAGACTAAAACTAAAGACTAGTTTGTGACACTCTCTGTCCTTGACAGAAAATAAGATAAAGCTTTGGTATGTGATACTGTGTATGGTTGAACAAAAATACGTTAACACTTTGGTATGTGACACTGTGACAGACAATATGTTAAGACTGGTACCCATATGTAATACTGTCTATGGTTGAATAAACATGTTAAGATTTTAGAATGTGACACTGTTTATGGTTGACAAAAAATATGTTAAGACTTTGGTATGACACTATTTTGTTGTTGATGGGCGCTTTGAGGGCTCTGCTACTTGTAGTTTGTACCCAGTGTTGTTTTTACCCTAATATATTTCCTTGCTATGTAAGTTTACATTTACTGTGGAGTTCACTTAAACGGAACATGGTTAATACAAATGACAACAATGTTCCATTAGAAGAAAATAATATCCCTTTTTTTTTTTCAATTTTATTTGAGTAACTTTTCTAAGTCAAAAACCTGGCTAAACCAAAGAAAATCTGGGAGGTTCTGCATATTCTGGTATATGTGGTCTCCACTGTTCATGGTGAAGCTAGTAAAGTGTTAGAAACGGTTAATCTGCTTATTGTTGTTAGGAGATATACTGATCTTCAGTAAGTTGTGAACCTAAATTCCTCACAGTTTTAAATACTTTTTCGTATATTGAATTTTTCTTCCTAGTGTTTCAAGGAGAATGATAAACAAAACATATTTGTAGTTTGTTTTATTTTATGATGTCAATTTGTGACAGATAAAACATTTCCAAGCTTATTTTAGAATAATTATGAGTTTTGTTTTGAAGTTCAGTGGTAAGGTTGAGACTACAGCTCTATTTGTTACACTTTTTCGGGACATCTTTTAACATCGCTTTGAGAAATATATTTATTTGATATTGACATTTTGAATCTTTTCATTCATCATAAAATGGAAATCACAGTCTCTAGTGCAAAGGCTGCTGTTCACCGCAGGTCCTCCAGGTTCCT